CGAAGATGCTTCTCCTTCAGATCTTTAAATGTATATTCTTATTAGTGAACATCAGAATGTAAATGATGACATTATAACAAAATATATGTAGAAATCATATTATCAGAAAATGATAATCTGAATAGCTTAACAAGGATTGATTCGCTTCTAGAACTAGTACAAACATCTGAAAGACTTAAAATTAAAGCTGTTTCAAAATTGGAACTCGAAATAGAGTCTAAGACTGATGAATTTTCATCATTTTGTTTACAATGCCTAGTTCTAGTAGATTTTAGAATAAACAATTCAATCCCTCTTTCTATATCTTTGTGACAATATTTCGAACAGATACAAAAAACTTTATTAGATTTATTCATATTAAAAAGTATTGAAATTAAAACTATATTAAAGAATTCAATAAAAATATAAAAATCATTTTTCTAAAAAAAATCACTTTAAAAACATTATTCGTTCTGTAGTTAGCCATATGATCAGCATCATTGATTTAGAAAATTATATGATTGATATATTTAACAATTAAGTTTTAACCAGAAATAGACTTTTTATTTGTAATACAAAATATACTTTAACCAAAAAAGAAATAGTTAAATAAACTCAAACGTTTGTTATTTATAAACTTTTTTTTAACTACCTTCCAATTTTTTAATTTTTTTTAATTCTTTCTGAATTATCTTTTCAAACTAATTATTCAAATTATAAATATGGCAAAACGTAGAAAAAGTTCTAGTTCTATTACTTATAAACCTGAAACTTTCACCAAAGAATATAATTCAGTCTTTCAAAAGTCTATCAACGAACGTAACTATAACTTTAGCCTTAAAAAATCTAATAATAATAGTAATATACAAATAGAAGTGGATGAAAAAATCTTGGCATCAATTTTAGCTCGCGTTACTGCTTTGGAAATGAAAACAAGGTATTAAAAGCTAAAGTAAAAAAGGAAGTATTAGTTTCGAGAAGTAAAATAGAGATTACAAAAATGTTGAAGTTTAATTATAATAAAAGAAAAGGAAAGAGATATCAAGACTCTAGCTTAGAATAATCAAGTTCTGAACAGAAGTCAGATGATGCGAGGGTAAAAGATGAATTGTACAGTTGCTTTAAATAAGATATAACATGATTTGACATTTGATAATTATAATTTTTTAAGGATTGTGAGTCTAATACTATTGATAAAGATCATGATAATTTATCTATTGCTCTGCCGATTCCGAAACCATCTGGAAAATCAAGCAAATTTGCAAATTTACATCTGAAATTAAATTTAGAGAAGAACGTATATGAAAGTTACAGGGTGAATATTATCAAAGTGTATTATCAAGCTTAACTAACCTTTAATCGAGCTTTCTCAATCCAGGTTACCTTTTACAGACTTAATGAATGCCATACTCCTGTTAAAATTCAATATAAAAACCTAGATAAAAATATTAGAGCTGGAATTATCCACAAATTCAAGAAAGCTAATCCTTACTTTTCTGATTGTATTAGTGATTGGGCCTTAGTATATCTCATGCGTCACAAAATAAACATTAATCGTAAGTATTATATATGATGATGTTAGTCTTTTGGTATATTTTATTTAGTCAACTATATTTTATAAGAGAAAATGCTTATCGTTGGGATAAGAAATGTTATATTGAAAATAAAGTCAATTTTTTAAAGTATATAGATGTCTTATATAAATAAATAAAAAATTAATGTGTATTATTATTATACTTTCATATTATAGGTCCAGTCAATGGTGAAAAGCGCAGAAGGACGAATTAATCAACCGTTGAAGTCCTATAAAAATTTGCATACGTTTTTTCATTATTATAAATAAGTTTTGTATACATTTTTTGAAATTCCGTATCACATTTCCTT